TCCAACCTTCCTTTGCCGAGTGTCAAGTCAGCATAGGGTTTCAATTGTAAAAGACTGGTCCCGAAGCGCTTACCAAGACGCGGTCCAACAGCTTGAATTCAGCGCTTCGATCAAACGCGCTCGTCCGCTCCGAGTGTGAGCAGGTATTTAGGTGACTCTCGTATTTCAAACACATCTTCTTGGATGTCGGCTCGCTCCTGCATTGCCGAGGCCGCGAAAAATGCCGCGGCGATTTGTTTCTATCTACGCCGCTTTGCAAACGAACGGCGCTGGCCGTCTTCTTTTAGCAACGATGACAGTTGTGTCGACATCGTAGCGATCGAGTTCGTAGCGGTCGACGTAGGCGGTTATCCCGGCCTCGGCATTCGGGCCCGTTTAAATCGTGGTAGCGTCGACATTTCACTGCACGGACACAAATCCCAGACAAGCGTAAGCGGGAAGGCCGCCTGCGTTTGTTATTCAAAATCCACGTGCTCCCGAACTGCTCCGAACCATGCCGAGCTCTCTGATTGGTTGTCCGTGTTGCCGAAGGCGCCGTCGCCACGGCTACAGCCCGCTCTCCCGGGAATCGGGAGTTTATCGGAAGTCATAGTTTTTCCGCACGAGAACGTCGCTTTCCTCCTCTCAAAACGCGTTCGTGAATACTGATCTCTCCTCTTCTTGCGACGTTCTTAACTTACGAACTTCTTAGCTAAGCTCTCGTAACCTGAGTTCAATCCATCCCCACCCGTTTCGATCTGGATGAGCATCGTATCGGCGTGTGGTCGTGTATCACTACTGCGTGGTGCACATTAAAGACCCCAGGCTAGCAGTCGTACTGCACTGGCTAAGTTGCTCATCTACAGGGGGTAACAATGTCGCCATGCTATGGCAGACTAAACTCCTGCTGTATGCCCAACCTAAAGGGCAGGTGACACCCTTTGTCCTTTGGATTGACTGCGCTGGCTCCTAGCGTTCGTTGCGGTGAAACTGTGTTTAAAACTGACGCCTTTCTGCAAAAAAAAAAGAAAAGAAAATAAAGTGTTTGGAAGGATTTTTTTTTTTTTTCTAATGCTGAATACGCTTTTATTGAACCGCCCTCTGGTGGGTAAGGCCTAGAGGTGGGAGAAGGATAGGGGAGGTTGGCCTCGGCGCAAACATATTTTTGTGTGCAAATAAGTTGGAATGTTTTTCTTTTGCCTCTTGACTTCTGCTTGCGTCCAGTTTTCTAGATTAGGTCATTCATACGAGGAAATTCTTGGCTCGTCACGACTGTTCTACCTTTGGCGTACTGCTTTTGGGCGGGATTATAGAGGGATCTTGTATACTCGTACATGCATAGAGTGGTGCCATCTCAATCATTTTACTGACCGACCACGTCTTCTTTAAAATTCTGGCAATATGCGTACGCTCTTCCTTGATCACGTAAGAGTGCTTGGAAATCAGTGTTGCCTAGCTCGGTGGTGTTTTCAACCTGTGACTGAGCAGTATTTTACCGGAGGGGGCCACTGGCCCAGCGGCCCTCTTCTGTGTGGGCAGAACCTTGCTTTTTTGGGGGTGTAGCCTTTTCTGCGGATCTTCTATCGTAACGCTGTATGGTTGAGAGGGACAGCAGTGTAAAACGTTTATACAAATTGACCCGTAAAGAAAAACTGGATAAATGCGCCTTAAAAAAAAACAAAACAACACGGACACACACACACACACACAAATGATGTTTTAGATAGGGGCTTTTAAGTAGCATTTCTTCTTTCGCCAAGCACAATGCACCGCGGTGTTTTGAACACGTGTAGTACAACGCTCACGAACGTACGCACTCAATATCAACAAGCAAACCTACCCCCCCCCCCCCCCCGGCCCCTAATAAAAACAAAAACAAACAAAAAAAAAACTTAAAATATGTGTTTTTTCTTTCTTTTTCTGAGTGTTTTCGTTGGAATAGAGGAAATGAACAGTTATTTGCTGACGTCTTATTTATATATATATATATTTTTTTTTTTTTTATCGGATAAATTGCTGTATTTTTAAAATAAACAATGATCTGTTTTCGCGCGAGATTGACGGGTTTTTCGGTTCGAGAGAAACGGGCAGGCGTCTCCCTCGCTCTCGTTGTTGTCTACTCCGTTTCAGCTTAAGATGGAGTGCGGTTGATGCCACCAACCATCCCAGCCAATCCTGCACTGCGAACATATCGTCTCCGTGCACCTCCCTCCGGTCACGTGACACTCAGGCGTCATTGGATTGGAGGCTCCGATTCCTGCTAGCGTTCGCTAGGGTCCATCGTAGGTTCGAACGCCGTGTCGGGGGCTTTCACTCTCCCGCCATGCTTGCTCGCGTTTGTAATTCCGCCACCGGATCTATTTGATTTCTCCATGGGCTTTCATTCTCCGCACTCGGATTGATGGCTCTTGCCTGCTCACGCACTCGGGATTTTTTCTTTATATGTTTTTTTTTTTATATTGTTTTGTTGTTTGCTCGTCGATGCGAAATACTGTTGTTGTTTGTTTGTTCGTTTTTCGTGTTTGTTTTCGCATGAGTGACGTTCTTAGACAAATATTTGCCTCTTCAATCTGCCTCTTTCCGGCTCTTTTTTTTTTCCTTTTTTTTCTATCTTGTTTATGGTTTTCTCGCCGTGTATCGTTTCATGCCGGACGAGTTGTGCGTAATGATTTTTTTTTTTTACTTCTCGTGCTTTATATTTATGACGAACATGATGGTAAAGCTGAGACTGGGATAGGAAAAGGCAACGTTTTCCTTTTCCTAACCCCCAGTCTCAGGTTTACCATAACGTTCAACTTACACCTGCACTTTCTTTTTTTTCCTATATTTATGCTCCATCATTCCTTCGTCTTTGTGCCTGTTTCTTTGCTCGTGTTCTAGTTATTTCGGTCAACGAAAGGCAAGCACAGAAGGAAGTTAAGAAGAAACCTGGAAGAGAAAGAAAAAGAAAAAAAAAAAACCTCAGATAATAAAAAAAAAATCTTTTAGGAGAAAAAAAAATGAAAATCGGGGTTTTTAGTTACTGTCGAACGTAACTGCCTCACTCGAGCGTTTTAGGGAACCGGGTTTGCACATCCGGTACGGTACGGTGGGCCCTCCGGTGTGAACTGCGCATGCGCGAGCCTTATGCGGTAGCCCATGCGCAGTGCGTACCGGAGGGCCCATCCTGCCGTACGGCATGTGCAGAAACGGTTCCCTAATACGCTCTGATAATCTGCAGTTGGTGTACCCATTTGGGAGGGCGGAGACGTGCACGTGCCTGCTATCTTGGCAAAAAAATAAATAAGAAAGAACCTTCTTTTAACGGGCTGAAGCCGAGCTCACGATGCTTATGGAAATGGCCAGCTGAAGGGAAACAAAGTGTGTGTGTGTTTATTTCCGTTCCGCTCACCGTTTCCGTAAACCTTCTTTACGCGAGTTGGCGAGAAATGCTCTAGTCGCCAACAGATTGAGAAACGCCTGGGCGTGCCTTACTGTGTTCGTGCCTCTCACCTGAGTTTTGGACACGGTGTGAGAGCCGGCCGGCACATGCTGCAGGCACCGTCTCAGGCGTCTTTCTTCCTCGTATGACACACGGTGGTCATGCAAAAGTTGCCCGCAAGCATGTTCCAAGCGTGCCTTTAGTATATGTATGAAGCCTTCGAAGATGCCCGACGGCGTGATAATTGAGTCTTTTGCTTGATGTACGAGCAGTGTCTCGGCGGCTTAATGCCAGCGAGTGAGGTTCGTATCTGGACTATGCGACAGTCTACCCCCCCCCCCCCCCCCCCAAAAAAAAAAAAAAAAAAAAAAAAACGAGTATAGGAAGGCGATTTTTGAGTAACTTCAGAAACGCAGCGTCGGATGAAAAATGTCACGATGGACCTTCGATCGTTTCAGCAGGAAGAACAAGGATTCGATGCATACTTAACACCTGTAGGCATCTCGTTAATCATTGTGTCGAGGCTTTGAGAGGCCGTAATTTGGCTTTGCCTTAATTTCCTTCAGAGATTTCTTTTTTTTTTCTTTTTCGGTATGTGGTTTGTTGTTTTGGTCTTCAATCTTGTTCATTAGCAACGGTTTGGAGACAATTTCGGAACTCGACAGCATAAACTACGTCTTTGCTCGCGGTGCTCGCTAAACTGCACATCCTGCGATCGTCTCGGTACGCTGGCTTCAAATTTCTTCTTCCTTTTTTTTTTCTTTTTATCCCAAATCCCGTATGTATGTTCTAGTTAAGAACGTAACTTCAAAGGACCGCGACTATGATTGAGGTTGCTGCAAAAAATAATTGCTCCCTGGAAAAAAAAAAAAAAAAAACTGCAAATTTTGTTTTATATTTCCTGGAATTGAAGCTTAGCCATGCTTGCGGGTGCAGGATGTTTCGTACAAATGAGCGGCTCTAGTTTAAACGGTCCCTGAGTTCCTTTTCGGACCTCTTAGAGCTCGGCCTGATGTGGAATACTCCGGATAAGAAAGGTAATTAGAGTGTCAGCTTGAAATATGGATGTCGCCGTGTAGGGGTAGAGGTATTGTTTCTTACATTTTATAGTTCCGATCTTGGAAGTCGTGAACCGTGGCTTTTGCACTTTTTTGTGTACTACTATTATAGTTTTGTCTCTCTTTTTTTCAAGTTGTGTCGTTTGGAGGTTTCGCCCTGCGCAGCCGGTCGCGAGAAACGTTTGCAGGACTTTAAAGTTTAGTGGCGTGATCCAGGTGTTTGTTACTTTTTTTTTTTTTTTAAGGTTGTTTCTTTTTAGCTGAGATGTTTAGGGCTTTTCTCCCTACGGTAAGTGTGATCACTGTTAGATAATAATGTGTTGGCTCGCGATTGACATGCGTTGTGTTCCACTCAGGAATTTTATTAACGCACTTTAGTGTATTTTTCGTGTTTTGGCTTTTCATTGTCCTATCACGCGTGAAAAACCCTCCTGCCTGTGCCCTTGTAAAATCCGCAATATCCATAAAAAAAAAAAAATCCGTTTTAGTTATTGGTGTTTGATGAGTGGTACTAAGCCTTTATTTTGTTCTTATGCTCCCAGGGGCCTTTGGAACGTTCCCTTCATTAATACGGTGTACCTGATCAACGGCACGCTGCTCCACACCAAGGACAAGTTTCCGTCGTTCATAAGCGGACTCCTGGATCCGGACATGGCTTTCTGCAAGAACATGAGGGAGAAGGTGAGCGACGTTCTGTCTCCGAAATCGGTGTGGCGGAACGAAGTGGAACATCTAACGTAGCCATTTAACGCAGGCCTAGTTAGAGGTGGATACATTACTTAACGAGAAGGAGCGACCCTTCTGCTACTTCGGTTACACGCAAACTCGTGGAATCTAATGACACACAAAGCTGCACTTAAAGGCCGACGACCAGACGCGAGATTCTGCAAGGCAGAAGATTCTCCTCGCCATGGGGGAAGAGGAAACAGGCAACGGTAGACCGGGTAGAATGGGGGAAGGAGGATATGAGGGTAAAGTGGGAAGCAACACATCTGGACTGCGGAGTTTTCCGCCCGCTTTATTCACTGGCAGAATGAGAACGGCAGGGCGTCTCTTCCGGACTTCTGGCCACCAGCAGTCGCGCTCGTTGCCGTTTTTCGTGCTTTGGCGTCGCGTGCACACTCGAACCGCAGGAGCAGTTTTGTTTTTCCCGGGACTGTCAATCTGGGGGGAAGGGAGGGTAGGTGTTAGAAATGTTTGGGAGGGCTCCCGGTAAAAGGGGGTTGTATACCATAGGTTTTTGTACCTTATGTAGAAAATTCCGAGGGGCTTTGTTGGGGGTTTGTACATATCACTGCTCACGGGACGCCGAAACGTGATCGAAAGTAGAAGGCTCGCGTTGGAGGCGGGAAAAAGGAGTACTCTCCTGCCTTTCTTATTCTGTCAGTGACTATACATATCATTGCAATTGCATTGCCTCGCTCTGCAAACTGGTTACCAATCAGTAAGATCGCGAAGTGAGGTGCGTCCCGAGTGTTGTTGTAACCCGATTCATTTAATCGCCATTGGAGTGCGCTCGTCGAACGGTTGATACTCGAGGCTGTGCCCGCTGTAGAATGTTTTCTTTCAGATGCAAACGTAGCCGGCAACGGCGGAAAACCGAAACCTCGCAAAGAGAGTAATTTGACTGCCGCAAAAGAAGAATGGCGCGTTTCCCTTCTCCCTAGTTTTCTCCTTTTCTCTTTTCCCGGCCCTATCGCGCGACGCTGGCGCCATCTATGAAGTCAGGATGCAGACACATGTATATTTAAAAAATAAAAAAAATAATGTGCGTTTTTTTTTTTTTTTTGTGCGGGTATGTAAAGAAAAAAAGGGAAAGAAGGGGGAGTGATGTTTAGCAGGTAAACTGGAATTCGTTTTTAACATCTTCGCGCGATTTACTTGTTTTCTTGATGTTGATTTTAAGAAGTATACTCATAAAAACTGAAATAGTTTTAAATTTTTTTTATATAAGCCAGTAATTGGAAAATACGTGCACATGTGGACATCACAAGTCATAGCAGCCTGTGCAGACACCCGAAACTAGAAAAAAAAAAGTACTTATTTTGCTGGGTTTTTTTTTGTGCTTATTTTACATATTGCTTATGACGATTCACATAAGAGGGGGTTACGGTTACGTTTTTCTTTTTTGTTTTGCAAAATTAATTTATCATCTTGTAACTGTTTTGACTTGATACTGTCTTTCTAGGCATATTAATATATATTATTCAACATTCTCTGGACAAACGCTGAAGTTATTTATTTTATTTCTACTAATTTATAGCATTCAGTGAAAATAAATAAATGTAATGACATAAGCCCACAAAATAGTTTCGTAACTGCTGCTGTCATATTTTTACAAAATTTTCTATTCTATAGTTTTATTTCTATGTTTGCTTCTTATTACGTATAGCACAATTTGTACAGATTTTTACTGTTGAAGTGCTATGAAATGGAATTATAATTAGTCTGACATTTCATTAAAGAAATAAAGTGTCGCGAAATTGTGCTTGTGCGCATGTTTAGTCTATCTTCGTTTGTCTAAACGTTCAAGGTTCTAACGTTTATGTGCAACCCACATGGGCATGACAGGAGCTTATTTATGACCCGTTCGAGTTCATGTTTAACTTCATTGTATGCTGTCCTAGTTAAGATGTGATCATGACACACCTTAGTGTTATGAGAAAATCCCCACTAGGAAACTCTGCCTGTTCAAGTAATCTTGATTGCCAAGCCACAAGGATCACAGTATGGAAGGTGTATTTGATAGACACTTTGGTATTACTGCTGTTTCTGCATCTTACTTTGCATGCAGCATCAAGGATGCAGAAATGTTTCAAAGTTTTTTTTGCCTTGCAGGGGATCTTCATGTATGTCACCAACATGGATACCTATGGACACCTTGTCAACCCCGAGACGTTTGATTTGAAGCTAAAGAACCCTGATTTCTATGAGATATACAGCAATCAAATGGTAAGTGTTCTTTTTTCTTAGTAGCTTTCTCTTGACCTAGTGTCATTGTGCTCAAGAAATTTACATTCCAAACCAGCAAAGGGTTTTTGCCATGCCTCAGCAAAGGAATAGGTAGGAGTAGTTTAAACCACCTGGGGACCTTTAACATGCAACAAAAACCTTAGTCACATGGGACCCTCATCACGAGAAGCCTCTGTCATATTACAGATATTTTGGCTGGGATTTAAACCTACTTCCTGAGGATATGTAGGACATTGATTTCTTAGCAGTGCATGAGTGGACCCATGTCTTATTTATGGATGTGATCACTCCCTAACCTAGCAGCATCAACTCTTTTGTTGCAAAAGCATTAACTGTCCCATTGGGCAGAGCCGGCCTTGTTCATAACCGTGGAAAACAGCAGAGAAATTCCCTCCGCGCCATAAACGTGAAAAAACGGCAGAGAAATTTCCTCCATGGAAAAGCTTATAAAATTGGCTGGGACGCGTAGTTTCGAGGAATTTCACCCCACAAAGATATCCTCTTGGCGCCGGTAAGAAGAGGAGGGTGGTGCTCGCGTGGCCGCCCCGGAGGCCCAAGGGGAGGAAGGGGGGGGTGAACACTGCATCACATGTTCTACACTCTGCTTTCAACCATGTCGCGCCCCAGACTCCCGCCAGCAATCCGGCCGCCCCTCGTTGCCAAGGGCTCCAAGGAGTGCTTATCAGCGTTCAATTGTACATTTAGGCTTTCACATTCAGAACTCATAAAAAGTGCTTAGGTGTCCTCGGAATTTTTTTTTCTAATCCATCTACTTTTGAGGGCTCAGCAAAATCGACATAAAGGTCCGTTCACACTCTTGCAACCGAGTACGACCGAAAGAGACCAGACCGGTTTTTAAGCCTCTTGCGACCTCTTAGGACCAGCTCCGCTGCAGTGCATCCGGCTCTAAGAGGTCGCAAGAGGCTTAAAAACCGGTCTGGTCTTTCTCTGTCGTACTCGGTTGCAAGAGTGTGAACGGGCCTTAAGGCTCAGTAAATAGCCCAAGTTTTCTCGATTAGTATGCATGACCCACAGGGTGGACTCTGCTACCTGCGTGCTACAAACTATTTGAGGCCATCGGTTATGGTCGTTGCACATCAATATCATAAAATCAGCTCAGGCTTGCGACTGCTCCAGAGGGCGCAGGCCTCTGGAGCAGTTGTATGCCACCTGGTAAAAGTCACATGCTCGGCTTTATGACATGTTATTGTCTGCATCACATTCCCTCCCTACTTTTCTGGTATGATCACTGACAAGGAGAAAATGGCAGAAGGAGCTTCAGTTGTCCTCCTTCCTGCGCGATCGCCTTACGTTTAGCAGCGCTTCAGTGTCTTATGCACCTTGAGCGCGCTGACGCAGCCAAAGCACAGTGGAAGGCACAAAGAGCGTGCTGGAGGCCGGATATTTGAAGGACACGTCTTGGCTGTTCTCATTCTGTCCGTGACTATAGTAGCAAACAGTTTCTTCAATATTTTTGGCTGCCGTTGTAATGTGCATAATGACACATAAATAATACTACTAGCTTCATTAGACAGTTTTAGTGGACCGTACGCTATAGCTTTGCGTATGCAAGGAAATTGCGGGTCGTGAGTGTGCATGCATAGAACGCTAGCGTATTGAGTACGCCCGCAACGCTGAGGATTTTGCGTTGCTGGCTAGCGGGCCTTGCGGGACGCTCTCGAGAGATCTCGGACCCAACGAGAGCGCCAGTTTCAAGATGGCGGTTGCCTCGACTGGCGCAGCAAGGGCAATGTGGTGTTTTCGAAGTTCTGTGTTACGTGAAATTGCGTGGTGTTCAGCTCGGCGATTCTTTCTGGGACCTACCGCGGTCAAATCAGATCGCCGTGCAGCTGAAGGAGTGCACATTGAAAATGTTCGCCGCTCGGAATGTGCGTTGACGCTGCGATCTGCTCAATGCTAAGCCTATTCCCACAGTTCATCGGCGACGCACGAACGACTCTAAAAGAAATCGCCGAAGTTCTCGCTATGCACTGGGCATCAGGGTCATGAATTTCATTCCGCGATAGCATTGATAAAAGGTGCCGTTTCCACGGGACGAGTGGCGGAGGCTCCGTGATCGAATTTGGCTACGCACTCGTACTCGTAGCCTCTGTACCCCGCAGAAAAGCGCGCTTGACGAGGCAGCTGTGGCTTGGTTTAATTTGAAATAAAATGATTGGACACGTTTTCATTTTCAATATTTCTTTCCAGGAGCATGGTTGCGCTATAAGCACGTGGAATTCTACGGCTCTAGCAAATTTAACCAAGATCATGCGCGGTGTTCACTCGAAAACGTAACGCACAACTAAATTCGGTCCGAGCAGGTCATTTTTAGCGTACGCTATACTATTGCGTATTGCGTACGTAAGGTCCAGCAATGCTATACTAAAACTGTCTATTATTTGGCAGACTTCCAGTAAAGTGTCAAACTTGTGGGGCACAGGGAGAGTTTCTGAGATCGGTGAACTGCCAAACTGTTCCTACTTCATAAACCTTGACTCTTCCTGAAGCAAGCTCTGCATGCAGTCACCGTGGAACATGAAATATGTCTTTCAGGATTGGGAGCGTCGTTACATTCACGAAAACTACAGCAAGGTCCTTGAACCCGACTTCAAAGTGGACATGGTGAGTAGCCACTTGTCAATTGTTCCTCATAGGAACGAATTTTCAGATGTTTTGCAGCCTCAACACGAGCCTTGTGTTTTTGCAGCCCTGTCCTGACGTGTACTGGTTCCCCGTGGTGACGGATATATTCTGTCGCCACATGATCGAGATCATGGAGAACTTTGGCCAGTGGTCAAGCGGAAAGAACGAGGTAAAATTCCTTTTTTGTCCTGGCAAAAAAAGAAAAAAGATGTTTGTATTTAGACAGCATAAGGTTGGCTTGCTTTTGAGGCACGGCGACGCTAGTTTATTTTGTAGATGAGGAATTTGGCCAGTGCAGTATCACTGCTAGCCGGGGTGTTTAACGTGCCGAGATCGAAGCGGGAAGCGGGGGGGGGGGGGGGGGGGGGGGGGGTGGATTGAACCCATTGCGAGCTTTCGTTCCATGCGCTGTGGTGCATAAACACACTCAGCCACCGATACCCCTCCTCCCGTCTTTGCATTAAAGTAATAAAGGCTGGTTAAAGGGCAACTCTGCTTCATTTTTGGTATTTAAAAAACTATGTAGCCTTCTTCAGTATCATATAGGAAGACCCCATGTCAAATATTACGATCTAATTCCGTCTATATGTTTAATAAACTGGCCAGCAAACTTTCAAATCCGCCAAGTCGCCAAAATCTGCCAACTCTAACGTGCGACGTGAGGTGCAATCGTCAGCGCAATCAATGCAACGGAGTTGGAGCGGCCAACATTGAGCCACTACGTCAGAGGCATGACTACGACATTCTCACGTTTTGTTTGTTTTTACTTCTCGGAGCGAAATTAAACGATGACGTCATCAGTTTCTCCTGTCGGTTTTGGCTGAACGGCGTCGACGTGATCACCATAACGCGGATGCGCTAGTTTGCGCTGCCCTGTGCGCTTTTCCCCCTCTCCCCCGGGCCATCACCGTCTACGTCACGCGAAGCGACCTGCCCGCGTCACGTGTCCTGTCCCTCGCCCCCACGAACGTCACAAGGCCACGTGGTTCGACATGACGTGGCCATGACTCTGACGACACGAGACCAATGTTGTCTGACGCAGCCGAAGTTACAGTTTGGTATCAGCTGATGTTTAAATTAAGATTACACAAATAATATTCCACATTCTGCGAATCCGAGGACGTAGAGCTGTTTAGTAGTGCTTTTTGAAATGGAACCACATGTAACCCTAAATTTTTCGGAATTGAGCGGAGTTGCCCTTTAAAGCATTTGTGTTTTGAGTACAACCGATCGCAGTTGACTGCTTAAGTCTGATTTACACATTAGGTAGGGTCTGAGTGTGACTGAGTGCATTGTGACCGCCTGCAACCTCTTGCGAGAAGAGAACAATCTAATATTTGCACATACCTACTGTGTTGTCTATTTATGGAAAAAACATTTTGTGTTCTTCATTGTCGGTGTTTGTGAAAAATTCCTTGTTTATTGGTTACTGGCCTCATTGAAAGTTATTGACAAAAACTTTTCATAGCTAGCCATCAATGGGGGGTAAGCAAAGAATTTAAAATCATTTGCACGATTTACATACTATATCTCTAGCATTCAACAGAGAATATTGTTTTGGCAGCACTTCATGATATTAGCAGTTGGAAATCCCATAAATTAATAAAAATGTATTGCTAATGCATAAATGGCAGTTAATTTTTTGGGGGACCATGTACAAATATTAATCAACCAATATCTTTTCAAGCAAAAAGCGCCGAAAAAAATACAGGGACACAGGAAGGGAAACAGGACAAGGCGCTTTTTGCTTGCAATGAACCAACTGGCCCAAATCTCCACTTTACTGCAATATCCTTTCTTATTTGTACTATTTTTGTAGTACATATAGCATATGTTTATTCGCAGTTCTTTACCAACAGTCTTCAGCCAACAAATTCATACATTTTTTTATTAAAGGGGTCGTGCAAAGAAAATAGATATGCCCAGACTTAATTTTATAAAATTGATGAGACCTCAAAGATCCTAAATCCCAAATATTGCGGCGAAATATTGTGTCCAGATTTTATAAACCATGTTTGAAAAGCATGTTTCCTGGGGTCCCTGGAACGACCATGCGACACTGTTGGCCAGCTTGAGCAACAAAACGTTGCAAAAATATCTGCGTAAGGTTGAGGGTCTACTGTACTTTATTTTGTGTTATAATAAGAAAAAGAAAAAGAGGAATTCACTGGCATTCTAAAACAAATTCGGCAGCACTATAGCACGTGATTGCTGGTAAGTTTTGTTTTCAAAGCCATCTGAGATTTCCGTCGTCCGGCAACCATAGCAGCGTCGGCTCCTGTCATCTGCTGGTCGCTGTGCATTTTTTGTGTGCAGAAAGTTTAAGTTGTGGTGTGGGCTCGGCGTCGTTGGTGTGTGTTGTGTGCCCGCTCCAGCGCTCGCCATGCTGACCGTGTGCATTTTGAGACAGTGCAGCACAAGGTGCGTGTCGCGAAGTGGGGAGGAATAAAAGAGTAATAATAATCCACCCCGAGGTTAACAAAAATTACTTGAAAAGAACAGAAGATTTAGGTTGGACTGGTGACAGGCGATAGGTCCACGCCTGGTGTAGAGGTCGGGGGAGAGGCGACGACCACGCGGAGTTATAAAACGAAAAAAAACAAATTTAATATTTCAAAACACGCATCGGCCGGGCACGGCCACGAAGGAGAGATAAAAAAAAAATAACGAACACAGTTAGCAGTCTAGCAAAGGTCTTGAGGCACAGGGACTAACATCCTGGTTAGCAATACCACACATTCTCAAATACAAGACTCAAGAAACTCGAAAGCGAACACACAACATAAAAGACTTATCTATGCGGAATCCAAGTCCAGACGCCGCTGAAGGTCGACCTGGGTTCCCGGACGATGAAGATGAAGACTGTTCTGGCAATCAGAGAGATGATCCGCCCGAAACACTGCACCACGCACAGACTGGCACCAGAGTGCCACAACCAGGCCCACAGGCGAAAAAACATGCACCGCATTGCAAGCAGACATGCGCCTGTAGGCAAAAAAACACTCTTGGAGGCTAACTAAGGCCTCAACCCAACGTTCCGAAATACGGAAAATCCAGACGCGGGAAAGCAAAACGATTACCAGCGGAGCCCCGGCCAGCTCTGGGGTCTCCAACTTCTACCCAAAAAGTGGTCTCCCTACCCCGACCAACCAACCCCGCCGAAACCCCCTCTATATATGCAGAACATAAGCAATTTGGGGACCATAAGTTGGCAAATCAGGATGTCCAATACAACAACAACAATGTAGCGCGTTCGATCTTGAGGACGGAATAGATGGTGCGACCGACTCCGAGCGTAGATAAAAACATTCTATTTATTTTCTCGTGCCGCCGGGCTCGTATCGACGAGTAACGTCGTCGTCTTTTATCTGCGGCTTGGTAGGCCGATGGACCGCCACAAAGCCCCCCCCCCCCCCCAGAGCCGTCGCCTGCAGGTATGCAGCCTGTAGGGGACGGGGCGATTGAGTGGTTGTGGCGACAGCAACTGAGTTGGGCTGTTGCCGTTGGCGTTTGATGCGAGCCGAACGACGTGGCAGAGAGCGGTGCAGAAGACAGCCTGCGCAAACCTTGCAAGGAGTTGACGCTAAAGGCAGGCTTATTGGAGCAATGCGGCAGCAGAGAAATGGCACAACGATGCGTTCGTGCTGTGCATCTAATGTGGAGTGGGCTCCATCGCAGCTCGGGCTCTAGGGGACATGGCGGTCTGCTGTGGGACCGATACAGCGTCATCCCCGGAGGTGACGCACCGAGAGGAGAGAAAAGCATGACCAGCAATAATGAGGCCCTGGTCGGTTAGCGAAGTGCCTTATCGAGAACAGTATGGTCCGCCGTGACTTGCCATGCCCCAGCGTGGCACAGTGCAGCACGCCCCACATGTTGTGGTAGCACACGACCTTGCCAGGCCAGCACGACACCACCCAGATAAGCATGACTGCCGGGGCGACACGAGAGACTGTGGCAGTGGTGAAAAAAAAAAGCCCAAAGAATGTTGTCTTGCCGAGCCGGCAGTGTGAGCGAGGTGGTCGCAGCCCGTTGCTGGGAGATCCTGGCGGCAGACGCGACAGGGCAGAGGTAGTGTCGGAGGCTCCAGGTGCTAAGGCCGAGGGAGATGTGTTCTCGCATAATTGCCGAAATCCCAAGCCGTTGACGTGTCCCGTGCTGCGGAGAACGTTCCCCTGGATGGCAGGTGCTCGGAGTCGATCATCATGTCCGGGTCACCAATTTGTAGTGCGTTCGATCTTGAGGACGGAATAGATGGTGCAACCGACTCCGAGCTTAGGTGAAAACGTTCTATTTATTTTCTCGTGCCGCCGGGCTCGTATCGACGAGTAACATCGTCGTCTTTTATCTGCGGCTTGGTAGGCCGATGGACCGCCACAAACAACATTCTTTCGGTTTGCCTCGCCACATGCGCGGATGTCGGCGCCTTCCTGGGCTCCCCACGCTCCTCCTTCCCCCAACAGTCATCCTGACAATTCGGGAAAACAATAATTGTTCCCAGAGTGCCCTACAAACTCGCCGGCCAAGCGACCTTGAGCGCCCGGTCCCACAGGCGACTGTCCCTCTCTCCTGCGGACTCCACAGATGTCCACTTTGAAAGGGAAGAAGGCGCGCCCCAGAACACGGCGACCTTCGGGCGCTGCCACATAGGCGATAAACTGACCTATTGGCGGAAAAGTAAAGAAAATATAAACAGGGAGAACTGGAATTCGTGACAGTACGATAGAGCGAATAACATTCGGTTTCATAAGTTGTCAGATGATCCACGGCAAAGAGCTTCCTGGCCTCGAGCCATTGACCGCAATGGCCCGAACGACATCGGCAGGAGCCAGGATTACATGTGTTCCGATCAGTTTCTAACGGGCGATCAGTTTCTAGCGGCGAAGCCTTGGCTTGGACGTGAAATGGGCACGTCTCGTCAAAACTGCTCGCATGTCGCTGCAGAGAGCTCGCCCAACTTTGTTGTCGGTGTCGTTGTCAAATGGTGACCGGTCTCATACTCGTTGGAGGGGAGTGTCTGCATAGGGCACGAAGCTGTAAAGTCGGCTGCGCTCGATTTAGTGATACTGAAGCTCGTGAAGCACCAACCGATCGGACATTTTGCATTTGAGGAAAGTATCTGGTCGCCTTTGACTTGTACGCGTGACGTCAGAAAGCAAAACTTTCAGATTGGCTGTCTTGATGTGACGTAGTCGTAGAGCTGGGTGGGAAACTCTCTGGGAAACCTAAGTATTTGTTTTACGTTAATAAAGGAATCCGGACGATAAAACAAATGCGCTTGGGTTAGATAATAGAGGACCTGTAATCAAAATAATCCCATTGCGCAGAATTTTCTAAAAACATTTCATGACCCCTTTAACCTGCTATTATACTTCCTTTAATAGCCAGTACAATTTCTTCTTCAAAAAATTTGCTTTCAAATGGCTTTGTGTTGGCATCAATCACAGAAGAGAGGGGGTGCATGGTGTGGAATATGATTATTTGAGAAAATCATTTGTACTATAAAGTAAAATATGTGGTGGTGCTGGTTGGTGCATTTCGATACAAATAAAATAGCGCAAATTCAACAAGGACAAACAGGTTAGGTAGGGCAGGTGCATTAGTATTTTCATTACCTTAGTTTTGTTGAACATTGCCTTTTCAGGACGAGCGACTAGCAGGGGGTTATGAGAATGTCCCGACGCGAGACATCCACATGAACCAGGTTAATTTTGAGCAACACTGGCTCTTCTTCTTGAGGGAGTACATCAAACCCGTGCAAGAGAAGGTCTTCCTGGGCTACTTCCATGACGTGAGTCCTTTTTCTCGTCCCATTTTTCTTTCAATCTAGGCTTGCTGCCAGAATTTCCTCATTCTTGATTGTTTAGTTGACTGGCATCATTTTCTCACTGTGCTCCTTTGACAACGAGATGGCTCGAGGCTTGTTAGAACAGAAACCTTCTGTAGATCCGAAATAAAGAGAAAGAGAGAAAATAAATGAGGGTAGTGGAGAGTTTGCAGGTGATGAACTGTTTGAAAGAAATTACTAAGCCTGGTGCATTTTTGCATTTCTGGAGATTTTAATCACACAAAAGTAGTGACTTTGTGTAACTTGGGGGTTGGGATGCTAGTGAAGGTCATTTGGAACTTAGCAAGAAAAAAGCCACTTCTAATGATACCACACTTATAGCTGTGCATAAGTTTTGATTAAATTAAGGATATCAAAGTGAACTTAGAATGATGTATCCAGAATGAAAGTTTGTGGGAAAATGGTTAGAATTATATCCAACTTTGTACCATTTTAAAATTGTTGTGAGCGTTCCTTGTTAATTTGGTGCCAATTTTCAGTGGTCATCGCCTGTCTTAGACTTGTGCTGAGTAATGCTGCTTTTATCTGATTAGACCACATAACATTTATAGGTTTTGTGTATGTAATGTTGCATTCTTAAATTTTTGTGAAGAAATTAAGCTTGATCTGAATTCTTCAATCTTTATGTAGACTGCACTCATCAGGTGGAATCAAGTTTTATTAAAACAAATACAACCTCAGCTATGATATAGCCCTTGCAGCTATGTCGGCCTTACGAAAAATGCTTATGATATGAAGGGGTGACTTAAGCAGTGATTAACTATATGCTGCCCATCATGTTGCTAAAGCTGGGACCAACCATGGTTCCTAATTTACACTTCAAGATAGTGCTAGAGCAAAAACTGCTAAGCTTGGTCAGGAACTTGTGCCTTGGCTGAATAGTATGATATTAAAATCTTTTTGAATGTGTGAAGGCATAAGTTATTTTGCAACCTGAAAAATTTCCTTCCTGGCCAGATTACTATAATTACAAACAAAGTACAACTGGCAGAGTGGAGCTTAAGCTGTCCCGCATCCAGCACGAGCTTCCTATCTTTGACAAGGGTTTAGCGTCTCAAACACCTTGAGTGCGCATATGTGGCCAAAGCACAGCGAAAGGTGTAGAGCACATGCTGAAAGCCAGGCGTTCGAAAGACACCCCCTGCCGTCCTCACTCTGTTGGTGACTTTGGTTTTGGAACACAAGTTTGCTGTTTTTGTGCCCAAAGCTGTACTGCACTTGGAGTGCTATAAAGCTGGTCATGTAGGTGCTGATCAGCTCTACTGGTTGCTCTGCTGCGTACCTACTTACAGTAATTTACCGGCAAAAACAGCATGACTTTATATTCGGCAGCCACTGGTGCGGAGAGGAGGTACCGTAAAATACCGAGCGTGCTCCCAGGTCACAATAAGTGTGTGTCTGCTACTTATAAAAGAAAAGAAAAAGAAGCAAAGAAGTTATCAAGCACCCATCCCGATTTCTGAGCCCGCCTATCTAACTGTGGTGATCCTCCGTGTCTGCCGCTTGTCCTAGTGCACTGGTGCAAAGTGGTGAAACCCAGCCTACTATATGCCTCTTTTGCACTTTAAGGCTTTCCTGACAAGCGCTCAGACCTCAGTTTTTCAATGTTATCTTCAAATTTTGATTGCTCGGTAGTCTGCAGTGGCTCTGCTTGTCTCAGTCATATTTCCAACCTTATACACAAGTGTACTGTGGGTGGCAGGGTGAATCATTTTAATAGCATGGGCTTCAGGTGAGCTGAAATGCAACATGAGGCACTGTGCCCATGAGAAGGTTATGTCACCTGGTTCATTTCACAGCCTTGGGATAGACATAAAAGCCTCCAATAAACATGGTGTACAGATGGGTCCTGCATTACTTTCAGCATGTCACTAGGTGCATACTGCCCTGCATTGTGTATATGAGGGCAACTTTAGCTTACTGGCACTATTTCAGTTGTTCTTGACTTTTAATATTATAACTCACGCATAAGTCACAGAAACTTGTATTTATACCCTATTCCTTAGCCCTCAAAGTACATTAAATGGCTTCGTGGCCTCACTGAGTCCCATAGTGTTAGACTGAGCACGGCACTCCATGTGACACTTGTGTTCTTGCCACTTCTTGCTACGGCAAAGTGTTTCATATCGCTGCCAACTCTACCTTGTGCTTTATAGATAGATTAACAAAAGAGGGCAAAGTGCTTAGTGTACCTTTATATCTTGTTTCCGTTTCCAGCCTCCAAGGGCCATAATGAACTTTGTTGTGCGCTACCATCCTGATGAGCAGTACTTCCTGCGACCACACCATGACTCATCGACTTACACCATCAACATTGCACTCAACAGACCAAAGATTGACTATGAGGTATGTCTCACCTTCTGACAAAACCATCTTTGACTTTTGGGATAAAGTGTGGCTCAAAATATGAATAAGCTTACATCATACAGTACTCATTCTTGGAAATTTTGGTCCCACCTTTTGCAGTTGGTAGAGGTATAATCCTTGATTCTAGAGACAAGCCCCTGGTATTGGTTTTTATCTAGGTACTAGTGAATATAGTAACTTTTAGAATGATCTGAATACAAACAAGATAGTCATACCATTCTAATAGCTTTAAATCTAACTGTATATTCATTTTACATCTCATAATTAATTTACATAGAAGTAAAGAGCGTAATCAGAACATTTTCTTTACTAGGATCAAAATTGAGTTTTTATGACCTAATTGGGTCGGTATTTTATGTAAAATAAAATATGAGGTAAATTCTTTTAATATTTCTTGAAAAAAGGTCCATGCTGACATAGCGACGAAAGTTATTCCTGGGGTTAGAGCATGATTTTGATTAAAATCATATTGTAATCAAAAACAGAGCATCCCTCATGTTCAATCAAAAAGCTAATTGGTTTTATAGAGCCACACGTTATAGTAAATTAAGTTGTCACATTACATAATTAAGTTGTCATCATTGCATACATTACATTCTATTCTTTTTATATCTATGAGATGTGGCTGTTAAATAATGAGTCTGGAGGCAAATGTGTGCACAGTTTATTACTATCCTACAACTTAATTGTTACCATTTTCAACATACTACCCTCGTCTATCTACACACCGTTGCATATGCGTTTTCCGTCGTTGGAAACTATGCTGCAGGTCATCATGTTTCAAGCCCCTTCAGCAGCTCCTCTCCGCAGTTTCTGCCCTGTCACTTTCATTCTCACTGATGTAGGCATTTTGTGCATCTATTGTTTTTTTGTTTCTGGATTGTACTGCAAAATCTGCAGCTCGTCGCATGTGGTGATCTTTTCCAGTGAGTCAGGTTCCGCTGCGAGTCGTTTCATGAAGTCAGTACAAATGTGTTTTTGGGCGTCTTTCCGCTCCTGACTAAAGAAATTGTTGTGGAGATTAAATTTTTCACGTCGATTAAGCATTTAGATTGTAGCAGACATAAAGCACATTCATCAAGAGACTGTAGAGCAAATTTTGCATGACCAGTTGAACATGCACGAAGTTTGTGCCAAACTGGCACCCAGAAACCTTAGTTAAAAGCAGAAAGATGCCTGGAAACACTTGCATTGACTTCATGGGACGACTTGCAAAAGAACCTGACACGCGGGAAAACGTCATCACATGTAATGAGACAGATTTTCCAGTTCAGTTTGAAAACTAAGGGAAATTCGATGCTCTAAAAATCTTACACGTCACCGAGAACGGAAATGGCATAGCAAGAACTGTGGACGAGGTAGAGGAGAAAACGGCGGAGCTGCTGAAGGGGTTCAAACATGATGACCGGTAGCATGGTTTTCAACTATAGAAAATTTTTATGTACTGGTGTACAGATGAGAGGACAGTAGGTTAAAGAAGAGAACAGTATTAAGATTGTAATACTAAACAAGAATAAAACGCTTTTGTTACGTGTGTCATTATTTAATAGCCACACCTCATAGACTTTGCAAAAACAGGTTCTAATTACTGAGTTCTGGGTGCACTTTCATATTAGCTGCAGTACTATCTTTAATATGGGAACAAAATAGAATTACAACATGCATAACCCCTGGCCTCTTCTTTTTCTAAATGCCTACAATTTAACTTGGTTAAAAGTAGTGCTTTCCCTTTGTGCCTTGCTGCACTCGAGGGACGGGCACGCATGCCCGCCCCTCAAGTGCCACCACAGATGTTGCTTTGCCACATAGCACTGCTGCCTTGGAGAAAGAGTACTCTTTCTGGTGACTGCCTATCACCAGCTGCATGAACTACTCGTGAAGGAAGACTGTAAAGGAATAATACTAGTGTCATTAGTTGAAATCTAAGCTTCAATAAGAAGTAAAGTGAATGCAGCTGGTGGTTTCTTTTGGGTGCATTTTAAAAGCATAAAATAAAGTCAAAATTTGCCATGCAACTGGCCTCCTGCTAGCAGCATGCGGCAGTAACTCGACACCTCAAGATGTGACACATTGAGAAGGTGTGGCTGAACTCGAAAAAAGCGAAGACACCCATCCAGAGTATTTAACTTCAATAGTCAAGACTGAAAACCAACACGAGAACCTGTAGCAGTGCTTGCCGCTGAGATAGTGAAATATCAGTGCTAGATGAAACCATTCCCCATAGAATGTAGACAATTTGCCATTTCTCTAGTTCTAACAGCTGTCCATTGATGTTTGTGCTCTCCTAAGGGTGGTGGCTGCAACTTCCTGAGGTACAACTGCAGTGTAGTGGACCTCAAGCGGGGATGGAGTCTAATGCATCCGGGGCGGCTAACGCACTACCATGAGGGTCTGCCCGTCACAAAGGGTACACGCTACATCATGGTGTCCTTTGTGGACCCCTAAGAAAGCTTCTTGCGCCACGCACACATCCTCTGTTTAATACGTCCAATCTATGTCATGATGTTGCCGCAAGTCACCATTATCTTTGTTTCGCGTGTTATGTTCTTTGCTGCATTTATTTTAGCCATTTTAACAGTGCCAAGGTTCCGATAACTGGCAGTGTGCAAAATATTTTTCTGGTCCTCCAAGATTATTTTTCTTATTTCCCTTCAGTAACATGCAAGTGTGTAACAGCATACTATATGTTAAACCTTTAATGCAAATATTTTTAATACAAATGCCAGTTGTGTTTTGTGAAAACCTTCACTCTATACTAATTTGAATATCATTGTACTCCAATTCACCTTCCATTGCATTTGGCCTAGTTTGAAAAACATCTCCAGGAATGGGCTAACGGGTTATTTGCAACCTCCTATTGCAGTACGTACACTGCACAACACAGCACAAACATGTGATCAATGGTTTTTCTCATTTTTCTTTTTAATCAAAATTCTGCCGTCAAAACCCCAAGTGTGGGAAGTGCCGCCCTTGGGTTCCAACTTGGGTGTTAAAATTTGGTGCCTGGCAATACCTTCTCCGAGTAAAATGTGCAAAAGCACGAATGTCGCAATCACGTTAATGGTTGCCGTGCAGTGTATGCATGTTTTTATTGCATGCAGATTTCAATGTAAAAAGCAAAGTATTGTATCAGGGTTCTTTTCCTAGTTCTTGGAGACACCTTAAGATTTATTTTTTGTCATTGCTACATACAGCCTTGTGTTTTTAGTCTCTGAAAACTTGCTGGTCTTTTTTTAACTTAGGTGATGCAGTTTCGTTATGCTTGTTTCTTTAAGATAGGAACATCAAAATATGTTTTCTAATATAGGAGCAATTGTTTTCCTTCTTTTTTTAAAGCAAAGGCAGCTTTAGGCTTATTATCTTCTTGTAGAGAATTTCAGGCCTCTGTATGCAAAACTCATTGATGCTTCTAGTTGGATTCTGTTTTACTTCCAAATTTCTGCATTTTATGTACACTAGTTTCTGAAAGCTTCATAGTGCCATTTGCATACAGTATCGACAATACACGTGCCTTTTAGAATGAGGAATTTGAGGAATATACATATGGTTTGAGGAATGCAATACCACTTTTTCTACATGTTGGAGGTCTACTTTACTGGAACCTATGGTGCCAGTTTCTTGGCTTAAAGATGCTTTTACACTTTTTGCAATGATTTTGTTTAGCCACGGAAATTGATTTTTTGCCACCATGGAAATACTTGGCCAATACTTATGCACTTATGCCATGTTTTATCTGTTAACGCTCTAGTCCTGCAAACCAGAAGGAACTCTTGTGCATTGCGCAGCAACATCATTTTACACGAGCGTTTTGTTTCATAACATTGTATGCTGCAAGTTTTACATGCTCAATGTCTAGAAAAAAGACTGTGAACATAACTTCTGCCATTCTTCTATAGGCGATGTCTGTCATCGTATTAAAGGAGGGGCAGACTGAAATTATTGTTTTTCTTGAGTCTGCACCTGATCTGTTGCCATTGTTGATTTTTAACGTAGCTTCTTTTTGAGCTCCGCGTGATCTTCCTTGCATGATCTGATGATTAATACTTTGCGGCAGAGGCAAAGAAAACCAGCAATATTTTGTTAGACGAATAAACATCTTTTTACAGAAATTTGTGTTTTCATTGGATTATTATATGCGAACATTGCAATTTGGAAAGCGACATACATATTTACTGGTATTATTGTGAACAATATAAGCTGAAACAGTCCTTCATTCTTCTTTGGCGTACCTGCCAGTTTTTGAGAGAGCAGTGGTCAGAACTAGGAATGCAATGCGAAGTTGAGGTCCCATACTTAAAACTATTTGACAAATTGAGAGATACTAGAGCTTGTGGAATCCGCAGCAGACACAGGAAAAAGCCGGATCAGGTGTTTCAACTCATATTCTCTGCGGTGGTACAGTTGATTGTCTTCACCTAGACATGTTTATAGCAGTGTACAGAGTTTTTTCGAGCTCTATTAGGGCGCAAAGATTTCCTATTTATAAACCAATGAGCTGAGTGCAATGAAACATTTCACAAAGGTGTCTGTAGGTGGTGTGCTTATCATACTCAAACTTAACGAGCGTAGGCTTCGGGAATAAAATTTTAAGTCTTAAAAAACTTTTTTCTTATGCACAAGGACAAAAACAGTAAAAACCACTTGGTTTACGCTGCTGCTAACAGATGTCACAACATTAAAAAAAAAAAAATGCGAAAACTTTTTGAGATGAACACCCGGAAGTTGTTTCAGCAGACTCGAGCATGTAGAGTAGGAGCGTGAAGCAGACGGTATCTGTTTTTCTGCCTGTGCATATGAAGGAGAAGACCGGATTTTATATGCTTTAATTTTAATGCGTTAGCATTAGTGCCTTGGTACATGCGCTGACCTTGGACTGGTTTGGAGCACACGTATATGAAGTTCGCAACGTCGCCACGGGATGGCATCACAGCCCCGTTGGCCGTGGAAACTGGCTGGGAAACACCTGCAAGCGACAGATTGCGGCGGTGTGCATATTTTCACAGGCTTGGCGATAGAACGCATAGCAACGGAGATTGCACTGGATTGGCTGGCAATAGGGAGCGACGCCGTGGAGTAAATCCTAGCAACCGAAGGTCGCCGGCGACGTCCCCCTTCGCCAATTTCGGTGCCGCGCAGTAGGGGCGTGGGGGACGGCGGGTGTATCACTGGAGCGCGTTCAACCCACCTTGGCACCCCCGTCCACGATACTTCGCTACTGCAACTGACTCATTACAAAATATTAGCCCACTTTGGGCTAACCGTACACACCGCATCGCGGCGTCCCGCCGGCGACCCAAGTACGTCTCCCTAAAACCGTGCGGTACAGCCAAAGCTGCAGGGGAGAGAGGTTATCCCACCTGTTCAAGAAGAGGGAAAGGAAGAACGAAGGAATCGCATTCCTTCTCTCCCGTTCCTTATTTACCCTCCTCTTGAACAGGTTGGAATACGCTCTCTCCCCTTTAGCTTTGGCTGTACTGCACGGTTTTAGTGAGACGGAGTATAGCCCCGCTGTCCCCCACTGCACCTCGGTTGCTAGGTGTCACGTTTTGCCGTCGCTCTCTATAACCGGCCAATCCTGTGCGGCCGCTGTTTTTCATGCACCCGGAGTGACATGATCTGCTTGCACCAAGGAGAAGAGGGGCTTTGGGAATGTTCACCTCGCGGAAAAATGCTGAGAAGCTGCATTCACCATGCTTTGTTATATGATATAATATATGATATATTTATTTTAGCTCAGGAGAGCCGCGGTGCCACAGAAAGGCAAGTCGCCCAAACCGTGAAGGCCCGCGGCGTCGCATCCAACACTGATGATATGGTATTGCATAGCATTTTTTTAAGGAAATGGTGATGATGGTTTAATTGGAGCTTGTAGACGAGTGCGAGGGGTGATGTTGCGGTTTAATATGGCGAAGAGCGTTAGGCTTGCAGCGGTTTTCCCGACGGTGGCCTTCGTGGGGCCGCCTTAGGCTACTGACCTCTACCAGGCCGGTTTTGAGCGCCTGGCGAGGGCTCCCTGTATATCCGGCTTGCAGACGAGCCGCCCGAAATTTCGGCGAAGCAGGGACTTCAGCACCCCCATGGTGGGGCTACAGGGGAGGGCGCCGGTGTTGGTCGGGAGGCAGTCTTCACGAAAGCGGACTCTGAAGTCTCCCAGCTTACGGCCGAGCTTATAAACGAGCAGCGTGATCACCCTGTCGATCGAAGACATGGTGGACTGGGTGCCACTTGTCCGGCTGGCTCTCTGACGATGGAAAAGACACGAATTATGCCCTGCTGGCTTCCTCCTCCGCTTCACAAAATGCATTTTTTTGAGAATCGAGAACCAGTGTGACTGCAGCAGCGATTTCGGCCCATTTTAGAGTGCAGCTCTTAGGCGCCCGTTCCCGTGTTTCGCGACGTCGATGTTTCCACCCCTCTAAATTTAGCGGGAAATTGAACTGGTGTTGAGGTCACGTGACGTCAATTTTTCCGCTAAATATAGCGGAGAAACTGAATCAGCTCATGGGTGACGTGGTACGAAGTCATAGGACGTCATTTTTCCCGCTAAATTCAGCGGGGAAACTGAATTGGTGTTGAGGTCAGGTGACTGCATTTTCCCGCTAAATTTAGCGCGGAAACTGAATTGATGTGGAGGTCACGTGACGTAAACTTCCCACTAAATTTAACGGGGAAAATGATGTCACGTGACCCCAACACCAATTCAGTTACCCCGCTAAATTTAGCGAGGAAAATGACGTCATATGACTTCGTGTCACGTCATTCATAAAGAAATTCAGCGGTAGGAGGAGAGGAGTCTGCGGAGAAGGAGGAGGGGCATACCCTCCCCTCCTCCTCCTCAAGAGCTGCGTTCTAGTTTCGCATTGCAGATTTAAACGTCTTTCATTTTTTTTCCTGAAACCCACATTCATAAAATTTTAGTATGATAAGTGCACCACCTAAAGGCCACTTAATGAAAAGTTTCATCGCACTCTGTTCATTAGTTTATTTATAGAAATGTTCGTACGCCATCGCATATATAAATAAATAAATATCACAATTACAGCAGCTCTTAAGTTGGGCACTCGGCGAGAAAGTCGGCGAGATCGCCGACTTTCTCGCCGAGTGTCTATTTTAGGGACCCAGTGGGCACTTTCGAAAACGTCAGCCGCTCCCGCAAGTGCGCCCCCCCCCCCCCCGTAAGTAGGGTTCCGTGTATAAGGATAAATCTGAAAAAAACACTCGCGGGAAAATTTTTCGACTATTCGGGTTTATCCGAAAAACTCAATTTCAATGTAACGACGGCAAAATAAAAAGCCAGAAAAGACCGTAGAAGAAGTCACAATGTATGTATGAAGGAGCGTTATCTGAGAAAACTGAAAGAACCCTAAGGAAGTGTGGAAATATGTAAAAAGCAAAAAAAACCTTGTGTCACTACTTTTGACGTAGTAGACAGTATTAGGTATTGCTCAAACTCAGAAGGCAAACCTAAAAGCTTCAATTTATATTTCCAAACGGTATTCACAAAGCCGGCCAGTAGAGTTAGTGGTTTCCAAAATAAGAATGGGGTTTCGCGCATGAAAAACGTAGATATTTCAGAACAAGCCATCACATTGTTGTTACAGAAAGTCAAGATAAATTCAGCGCATGCACCAGATCGTATCTTAAACTACATAATGAAAAACGGTGCCGCTTCCGGTGCTCCATGCTTGACCGTGTTGTTTAGAAATTTCCTTGAACTGGCTTAGTTACCTCTTGACTGGAAAAATGCATATGTAATCCCTATACACAAGTGGCGAAAAAACCAAAACATCTAACTATGGGCCCATCACATTGACAAGTGTTTCCTGTAAAATGTTAGAGCGCGTTATTTACTCTAAGCTAATCAGCCATTACAAGTAGACCATTTTTTTACCCAACGCGACATAGATTCAGGACGGGATTTTCGTGCGATACACAATTGATAGAATTCACTCATGGCAATGCTACTTCGATAAACAGTGGGCATCGGGTTGATTTTTTTTTACCTCCCTAGAGCTTTTGATTTTAACCTCAAATTGCAAGCTTCACCCTTGTTGGTGTTCGACTGGTGACAGCTGATAAAACCTTTTCGTCGTTTACCCTGAGACTGGGGGGTTATTTGAAGAGCAGAACAGAAATGGTTGACTTCCACCAGCTAGCCTGTACTTTGACTCTTTTCTTGATAAAACCTGTTTGCTCTACTGACGTCTAACCCCTGGTTAGCTCAGTTGGTAGAGCGCTCCACATGTAATGGAATGTAATCGATACCCGGACCAGGCGGATTTTTTCGGTCGCTCACCAGTCACCTAGCTGTGTTTGGAGATTTATAGTTGTCCTTTGTCCCTCTTGTTCCCCTTCTCCAGGAATTACTTTCGTCAATCTGGATTGTGTCGGTTCGGTCAGATATTACCGTGTTATCGGGTGTGCCGCAAGGGTCCATTTTGGGTCCCCTTTTTTTTATTAATCTTTATAAATGATCTCGCTTCGAATGCTTCTAGCCATGTAAGACTGTGTGCCGATGATTTCTGTGTTTACATGGATGTCTCGTGTGAAGCGGATTTTGAGCTTTTACGGTATCACATTGATCGGATTTTATTTTGGTGTCAAACATGAAAAATGTCTCTCAACTTCAACAAGTGCAATCTAGTAAGGTTTACGGACAAAAGGCGACCTCTCAACATAAAATATTTCCTAGGTAGTACACGTCTGTCTGTTGTAACAGAATATAAATATTTAGGGGTTTTCTTTTCCAGCTCGTTATCTCGGAACGCACATGTAAATTATATATCTTCTAAGGCTGCAGCACGTTAAACTTTCTTAAATGCAGCCTTAGGTAAGCACCCGTAAAACTTAGAGAAACGTTGTATATGACAAACGTACGCCCGATTTTAGAATATGGTTGCACCGCGTGGGAGCCTCACACGAGGTCAAGTAGGGATGAGCTAGAGCACATACAAAAACGAGCAGCGCGGTTTGTGTCGGGTAACTATGATTTTTCTAAAAGCTCATCTGCTATTTGTGAAAAGTGAGGGTGGCCATCGCTTGCTGACCGGCGGAAGTATCTGCGATTGTCCTTGGGTTTACAACATAATCAGTGGCCGAAATGACAGTC